TTAAATTTGTATTCTGTATCTGAAAAAAAAAATAAAGCGAATAAAATCATTGATTAAAAGTAATCTGACTTCTAGAGATAAACGTGGCAAAAATATTAAACGGCAAAAATATCAACACTGTTGTTATTTGTTCGAAAAGCTAGTTATTCCTTAATTTTTTATGTGTTTGGCTACTTTAGTTGATATTTTGCCTGTATATGTAATCGAGCAGAAGGTACTGGGTTTTTCTCTGGTGGTGGTAATACTAATTTTAGGGCTTTCTTGTGTGGTTTTTGATTACCAGACTTGAAAACGAACATGACTTCTCCATATTTCATAAACCTACCCAACTATACACTATTCATCATCTAATAGTACACAACATAAACTGGCAACCTGTCATAGTATGTTACATAGATTAACCGAAATTTCGATGTCCAAATACAACTTTGAGATAGAATTAAATATCATCAAGCAAATAACAATAATACAACGAACAAACAATTAATAAAATGTTAAATCAAAAACTACACAAGAAAACATTTAAATTAGTATTTCCACCACCATATAAAAAACCCAGTACCTTCTGCTCGATTACATATACAGGCAAAATATCAACTAAAATAGACAAACATATAAAAAAGAAAGGAATAACACCAGCTTTTCGAAGAAATAACAACCTAGGCAAATATATCAATAACAACAAGAGCCAAGATAAAAAACCCTTAACAAACTTAAATGTGGCGACTGGCCAAAAACTTACATCGGTCAAACTGGTAGAAACTTAAATAAACGAATAGCAGAACATAACAGGGCTTTTAATAATAGAAAAACAGATTCTACATACGCACATCTTCTAGATCACAATCATTCTTTTAATGACGAATTTAAAATTCTTCACATTCAAAATAAAGGCCTTAAGCTATCCTTGTTAGAATTTATGGAAATCAACAAATTAAAAAACACAGATATAATTCTGAATGACCAACTTGAAACAAACAGTTCTCCCCTCCTCAACCTATTCCATTAGAGACTATAAAATGTGAACGCATGCCAAAAATAGATCACTTGAGAAAGGCTATCAGCCGAAATAGCTGTAGTGATAAGTTAAAATAAATTTTGTGGAAGTTTGAAAACAAAGTTTTCAGTGTTTCATTGTTACAAATATAAAAACCTAAAAAATTAAATTTGCTTTATAAAATGTAGATTTCTGAAAGAATTTAAGTTATTTTTTTTTAAATTTGTCCAATAAAGAAAATACAAAATTCTAGATTGTATTAAAATATCAAGAGGTTAAAAAATAAACATGAATAACAATAAAACATAAACATAAAAAAACAAAATTTTTCTGTTTTTCTCAAAACTTAAAAATATCACTTAGTCCCTTTAAGAAATTCCCATCGACGAAAAACGTTTGACTTGAAAGTTTTAATTTATTTCGTTTAAATTGAATAATAACGTCAGTGCAAAGAACCACCGGACCTACTATATCACACAACAAAACGTTTTATGCAAATATATTCAATAAAGTAATATACACTTTTCTCACGATATCGATCTCTATCGTTTCATATCGGTCTGGACTTCCTTTAACGCTAAAGTCGAAATTTATTCAGAATGAACATTGCTAGGTAGTTTTGTTTGTTCTGAGACTCCAAGAACGGTCACGTATGAATAATATAAACAACTTTATCATCTGCCTTGATCGGAATAACCTCTAAAGTTTATTCGCAACGGGTTCTATAGTAGTTCGAATGGAACTTTCAGAAACCTAATTAATTTAGACGAAGAGGGAAACACTAAAAATAAAACATGCACTAGGAGTGGTGTGATGGTCGATAACCATTAGGCTAGGAGCTTTAACTTAAACGTCGTTGATGAGGCATATTATGCTAATCATGCACTATCAAGAAGAATTAAATAGTTAATGGAAACCCAATGTTTTTATAATTTTATCCACGTTTAAGAAGTGACGATCTTTTCATGGTATCTTGATACTTATATGAGCTATTTCTTCATGGTGTACTAGGATTTATTAATTAATATCTTGGTGTACTTGGATTTATTAATGTTTTGGCAATATAGAGCCATTGAAAAAAAAATCGTAATTTAAGGAGGTCATGGAATCACTTATTTGAACGGGTCGTCAGTAGCACAGTCATATATAGTTTGTCATCTCAATATAAAGTATAGTAAAGCATTTTAGGGAAAATTAAGTCTTCTTCTTGATGTGCCTAACCACAGCCACATTTACTTCCAAGCCATGAAGTAAAAAAGGCAACACCGCATTCTATGACATCGGTAGTCCGATAATCAGCTGTAAGGTCTACCAGAAAATTAAACTAATTTGAATTTTAGGAAACTGATATTTTGAAAACTTCAATTCATTACAGAAATATTTTTAGGTAAATTAAATTAATAAAACCTTATATATACCTAATAAATATATATAAAGTTTTATTATTATTAAGGTTATATTATCAATAAAATAATCATTAGAGTAAAATTTTTATTGCACTTAAAATACAGTGTCAAACAGTTAATCTTACAATCAAATGCAGTCAAGAATCTCTAGAAATTTTAAATATTAAGTACTTAAGCATATAAATAACACAATACATTAACACGACATTTAAAAAGATTATTACAAATACAAAAGATATAAAATTTGTTAAGTAAAAACTTAGTGTAACTATTATGATTAAAAAATTCATCCTAAGAAATCAGACACAATATACTTAAATATGGTTCTAAATTAATCTAATTGAAAATTAAATATTTTACTATTTACTTATAACTTTTGTTGAATTTTCATACTTAGGTATACATTACTTACATTACAGTATACATTACAGGCCAAGTTAAAAGAGATATACATGAAAAATGTGTTGAATGTAACATACCATTTATAACTTGTATATCGATTTAAAATAGCCTATATTCTCAAAAGATTTTTAAATGTACTACTCAAATTTGTTATCACTTATCTAAAAAGCAGATCTATATCAAGAAAGTAAGTTCTCTAATTGTGACCATCTTGTTAATTTACTATATAATAAAATCCATTTCAAATAATTACTACTTAATCTATTCTTACCTACATTGACGATTACACTAAAATTACTGCTAAGTATTACACTACTTATTACACAAATATTATCACACTCGTGTTCCAACTGATTAATGTTTAATACATAGAAATATACACAGTCACTTGGAATTTTACTTGTCCAGTTTTTCAATGGGATATTATTGTCTAAGTCTCTTAAAAATGATTCAAATGAATCTATTAAATCATTGTCTAAGAATTCTGTTATCTCTTGTTCCCTGTTCTTATGCAAAAAGTTTCTTCTGTCTTTCTTTAGTATGATGAACAGTTACACATGATGGTACTTCTGAAGATATATTAGGAACTGCATTGTCTTTTAATTTGGGAAATATTAACTTTTCAATGTGTACATTTCCATCTTTATCTTCTCATTGTTTAGCCGCTGAATATCATCTTCATGAAAATGTTTGGCACATACTACGGAAGATTTGGTAATTGTATAGCCTTCTCTATGAATAGAGCATAACCCAGTATACCTTCTTTGGGGATCTTTGGGAAACGAAAACTTACTTTCTGCCTGTTTCGTTTTTAAAGTATTGGCATAATTGGTTTTGCTACCAGGTACACAACAATGCCAGGGCATCTGTAACAAAAAAAAAAGTATTATTATTGTTGTTTTTAGTTTACATATTTTGTAACACGAAGCAAAACTATTATTATTTTCAGTTTGTTTTGTAGGTTATATTTATACTTGCCTTTTAAACTGTCGTTAAGAATCTTCTAAAAGTTCTAAACTTAATGAAATTTCACTTATATTAATATTTTCTAATTGATTTAAACACAATTCGTCGGTCCAATTCCAAAACCGCGAATGTGCCAAATTGCCCATTTCCGCTTTATGTTATCAGCGTCTGTAATTATATTTATAGTATACGGTGACAGAAGCACAAAAGTGTTGACCTATCCCCTCTGCCCCCCTCAACTGGAACTCATTCCACGAAAGCGTCAGTTGGAGATTTACTGCCATGCCGAACAGACGAATATATCACGTTCGTGCTTTTGACGTTGCAAGTTATTTTACTATTTAAGATCCAAATTAACGAGTATGCTACATTCGTTGTATTGGCAGTGTGAATAATTAGGTTTCAAGATATTCGTGAATTTAGTGATATTGTTGAAAAATGACTTCAAGCATAGCGAGAATAATGAAAAAGTGCCGAGAATTAAAAGATCAAGGTAAGTAAATATGTAATAGTAACTCTTATAAGGCCCGGTCTTTTCACCTCCGGATAACTAGATATTGGGAAGTTTATCTGACAGATCGGCATGTCTGTAATCTGTTAGATAAACTCCCCGATAACTAGTTATCCGCAGATGAAAAGACCGGACCTATGCAACTTATACAAACTTCTTCTGTGGCTCGTAGAGTAGTGGTTTTAAAATTTTAAGTTGTCATACCTTTGTTCATAATAAATATATTTTAATTAAATATTGGACATAGCTATTTAAATACACACTTTTTCTATAAATCCCTAGTTTATGCTTTTTTCTTTTTCTGTTTTCAGATGATCTATTTAACGAAGTTCTTTTAAGAACCACCATCGAGCATCCAGATGTACAACAGTGCAATGCAATAAAAAATATAAATACATACACAGGTAAGAAAAAAAAATAAAATCCTAGTACTCCTATACAAATTTTTTTCAATCATTGTCGTGACAAAAAATAAAAAAAAAACTTAAAAGCTATACTTTCGCTGGCTTTTGTTTGGCTTAAAATTTTTAGTTTCCATAACTTTGTTAAAAATAATAAATATATTTTAATGAAATATTTGACGTAGCTATTTGAAGACACACTTTTTATATAAATACCTGTGTTATGATTTTTCTTTTTTCTGTTTTCAGATGATCTATTTAACGAAGTTCATTTAAGAACTACCATCGAGCATCAAGATGTACCTCAGTACCATGTAATGCAAAATGTACAAACATACACAGGTAAGAAAACATTAAAATCTTGTTACGCCTATACAAGTTTTTTCAGTCATTGCTTCAGACTATTTTCAGTCAATTTGAAGAAACACGCATTCAAAAGTTCATTTTTATTTCAGGCGATATATCTGACCAGCACATGTCAACACCTCTTCTGGTTAACTATCCGAACAATCTACTCCCAGCTTCGCCACAAACACTACAAGAATATTTGATAGTGTCTGATTCATCTTCAGATGTCTATGAACCTTCACCTGCGTCAGACATACACAGTTCATTGGAAAGTGATCTGGAAAGTGTTGCTTTCCAAATAGAAACAGACATAACACCTAAAAATCTGGCGAAAAAAGAATCTATGAAGAGAAAAAGAAACGAGAAGTTGTGGAAGAAAAATGTTAAGAAAGTGAAAAGGCTTAAAGGAGAGTCTTACGTTGGCTATAGGGGAATCAAGGTACCTTCACGGCCTCTTTTGCCAGCACCTTGTCTGAATAAGCAAAAACATAAATGTGCAACTTTAATTTCCGAGCAAAACCGAATTAAAATTTATAATGATTTTAATAATTTTACCAGCAATAACGATCAACGTCAATTTGTGTCTAATCACATCGAACAAAAAGACAAGAAACGCACGACGAGAGGTATCGAAAATTCAAGAAAAAATTACACCTACGTTTATAGTCTTACAGTTGATGGTATTAAACTTACCGTATGTAGGGAATTTTTCATGGCCACATTAAATGTGACAGACGCCTTTATGCGAAGTGCAATAAACAAGCGCTCATCCAATGGAGTTTTAGAAAAAGATAAGCGCGGGAAACACCAACCATCAAACAAGTTACCCCAGGATGTCGAAGAATTTATACGAAACCACATTCTATCCTTTCCAGCGGTAGAATCGCATTATTGTCGTAAATCGAGTACAAAGAAATACCTTGACTCATCCCTTAATATATCAATAATGTACAGGATGTATAAGGAGTTGTGCAGCACTAAGAAAGACAAAACAGTATCATTTGAAAAATATCGCCAGATATTCTGCGAATATAACTTAGGCTTCTTTAAGCCCAAAAAAGACCAGTGCAGGAAATGCTTGACTTTCAAAAATATGTCTGAAGAACAGAAAATAATTGAAGAAGAAGCGTATCTACAACATCTAAAAAGAAAAATGAAGCTAGAGAAGCTCGCGATGAGGACAAGTTAATTGCAAAAGCGAATCTTAAAGTTTTGGCTTTCAACTTCGACTTACAAGCAGTATTAACAACGCCCAAAGGTTACGCTGGTCAAATATTTTATTTAAGAAAATTAGCCGTGTTTAATTTTACCATTTACAATTTAGGCAATCAAGATGTTATGTGCTACCTTTGGGACGAAACCAAGGGAAAACGAGGGTCTAATGAAATTTCATCTTGTGTATTAGATTTCGTTATGAGCCATTCTCAAATCGAAGCTGTACGTATGATGTCTGACGGCTGTGGAGGCCAGCAAAAAAACGCAATATTTGCAACAATGTGTATCCAACTTCTTGCGAAACATCCATCATTAAAAGTGATTGATCATAAGTTTTTTGAAACGGGACACACTGAAATGGAATGTGATTCCATTCATTCAAAAATAGAGAAGAAAGCAAAATATGTACCCGTTTATACCCCCGAGGGTTGGGCGCAACTTATAAGAGATGCACGTATCACACCATCTCCCTTTGTTGTAAAGTATTTGACGTGTGATGCCTTTTTGGATTTTAAAGGGTTTTTAAATAATAGTTCCTTCAAATTAAGTGAAATTCCTTGGAGAAAGCTTTGCTGTCTTCAATATATTAAAGAAAATAATGTCATAAAAGTTCTTTATAAAGTAAACTTTACCGATGATTTTATTGAAGTGGACTACAAAAAAACACGAGGCCGCCCGAAACAAGCAGAGTTACAAAAGGCCTATCAAAGTGACTTACCCATCAGCGAGGCAAAATTAAAGGACTTAGATAAAATGTGCAAGGATTTGACAATACCAAGAGGTTACCATGATTTTTACGGCTCCTTAAAAAAAATCAAACGGTGAGGGACAATCTACCGGAACCCGATATTGGTGAAGAATCCGATACTGACGAAGATTAAACGTTATTATTTTATTAAGTTTTTAAAAAGAGTATACGACGATGATTTATTTTAATTTTCTTCTATAGAGAACGAATTATTGTTTTTCTTAAAAACTTTGACGTTTGTTTTTTATTTTGTTCAGTCCGATGATAACGAAAACTAAACTTTTATAATATTGACTTATATCCTCAATAAAACTAGTTCATTTTATCAATATTATGATTTTATTTGTTTTAACGAAACACAATATGTCTTAAATTTTGAAATGACAAAACCACGAATATGCATTATTTTTTGGAAAATCAATAAAAATGTAAAAAATTTTCAGCCGTCATTATTTAATGCTGTATAAAAGTAATTTTTCAATAGTCGTTAGTTTCATAAATTGAAATTTCTATTTTTAACAATGTCCCCAATGTTTAAAACGGCTTTTTCTCAAAACATCAAATATGCTCATTCGTGACTTTGGCATTGGACCGACGAATTTATAAATAAAACATTCGAATAAAGTTTAAAAAACTCTAAATTCAACAAACTTTACAAGCCTTCCTATATGAAATGTTAAACAAAACAAACCACGGTCGGGCTACCACGCGTTGTTGCCAAATTTCTACTTCATGGCTTGGAAGTAAAGGTGGCTGTGGCCTAACCGTTACGAATGTTGGCGATCATCATGGCAATCTTTATCTTATCTGCAGCAGCGCGGAAAAGCTTAAACCAGATTCTGAGGTTCTTTAACCAAGATGTTCTTCTTCTTCCTGGACCTCGCTTTCCAAATATTTTTTGAAGAGGTCCCAAAGGACCTCCTCATTTGTGACTCGATCAGTCCATGGGATCTTAAGTATTCTCCGATATAGCCACATCTCAAATGCTTAGAACAAATTTTGCAACATTTTCTCATACCCTATCCTTAGATGCTTTAACATCCAATTTATCAGTAGAATAATGCAAGGCTATACTTTGTGAGAGTCACTTTTTGAGCTTTTTTAAATAAGCTAAAGTCAATCTTTTGCCGTGGCCATCGAGATTCCCAGATTTATCCCCTATCGAACACGTGTTGGCATTTTGGGTTGGAGACTTCTTTATTTAGAGCATCCTCTTTAACTTTGGGAGCACTTCAGGAAAAGATATTTAAGGCATAGAACGAGGTATCCTACGAAGATATTAACCACTAAACCACAAGAAGCCCAGGCGCATCCATGAGTACGTTACCCACCCAGGTGTATCAACACATTGTTAATTGATTTATCTCTGTAAGCTGTTTCAATTCTATTGAAATTTTAATCGTTTGGTTATTTTGCTACCCTGTATAATTCTACAAAATATTTTTAAAATTTAATAATTTATAATGAATGTTGGGATTTCAATGTCAATATATAATTGATTATACAATTTGATTTTTTTTAACTTTTTTGTTAAAGAATCTTCTCATTACATTCCTAATTCTTTTTTCATATATCATTTACTTTCTTCTTATCAAAAAATAAGAGATTTATCATTTTCGAACGCTTTTTACTTGTCCCAAACGAATATTATATAAGCTTTTCATTGGAAAACTTTTTCCCTTGTTGTAAAAGAGTATTTGTGAAATCTCTTGGAAATATTTGTTTTGATTTTATTGTTTGTATTTTTTAATATGCTAATTTTTTTCTCAAGCCATTGAAACAGAATTAGTCTTTGGAGTTTTTTACGACAGAAACGAATTTCTTTAGTATTTATTCAAAATACAGAACGAACTTTTTGCTACTTGAGAGTTTGTTTGATATAAGTAGCCCAATTCTCGAAACCAGTTAAATATATTGTCATATAAATTTAAGAATTTTGCTAAAACTTTGTTTTTTCTTTAAAATATTCATTTTATGGGTTGGGAACGTATTCAAAAGAGAAGTTGGTATTGGGTAACTTTTTACCACAATATGTTAAAAATTCATCATTATCTTTGGCTCGATAATTCTCTGTGGATCTTGGCCTGCTCTAAGATTCGTCGCCATTCTGTTCGGTTTTTGGCAACATGTTGCCATCTTCTGATTTTTAATATTCGTAAGTCGGTTTCAACTCCATCTAACCACCTAATTCGCGGTCGGCCTTTGCTTCTTTTTCCTACAGGTGTTCCTGTGGTTAGCTTTTTAGCAATCGTATTTTCTGGCATTCGTATTATATGTCCAGCCCATCTAAGTCGCTGTGTTTTAATGAACGTCATGACATCTGGCTAATCAAAGAGCTGATACAATTCAAAATTATTTCTTCTGCGCCACTGCCTTTGGTCGTTTACAGCTCCAAATATTTTGCGGAGTATTTTACGCTCAAATATTCCCAAAAGTCTTTCATGTTTCTGCGTTAGAGTCCATGTTTCTGCACCATATGTGAGGACCGACCTCAGCAATGTTTTGTATATAATAATTTTAGTTCTTTGAATGTTTCTTGAGTGGAAATGCTTTTGGAGTCCATAGTATGCCCTGTTAAAAATTAGTGGTTTAAAATAAAATATTTATTTAATAGAATTTAATCCAACATTTATCGCGTGATAAATTTGGGATACACTGGTCGCTTTGGTGCCTGAGACCGGTTTTGCTGGGTAAAAAATACTGTAATTACTAACTATAAGCTTACTTTTTCAGATGAAAAATTATAGTACTACATATTTTAAACCAGTTTTTATTTAAATTAAACTTGGTCGATTTCTGTGTGCTCAAAGGAATACCACTCGAATCCCAGACATCATAGTCTTGTTTCGATCTTTCATCCGACCACTCTCGTGTCTTGGTCACGATATCCACAAATATCCTAGAAACAGTATATCTTAGTAATAAATATACCAATTGTAACCTGTTTGTAATAATATTTGTAAAGTTGTGAAAGAATTGAAATTGGTCGATAATTTTTTAGGTTTGTGGTATCTCCGTCTTTGTGTATTATTATTGTTTTAGCAGTATTCCATTGTTCGGGAATGTTGCATTCGAATTGACATTTATTAAATAGTATTTTTAGATATGTGATAGCTTCTTCTCCGCCTTTCTTCAGCATTTCTGCTAGGATTTCATCGCTTCCAGGAGCTTTATTCCTTTTTATTTCTTTTGCTGCTCTTTCTTTTTTCCTTCGTGGCTTATTTCGGGCATCACTTTTTTGAGTTGACATTTGTTATCTGCCTTTTCAAGTTTTGCTTTAAGGAGTTATGAGGGTCGTTTCTGGAACGATACAGATGGGCATATAGCGTTTCAATTGAGCATATAGCTTTTCAATTTTCTACATTAAATTTACTTTTTTCTAGTCCTTGTTCTTTTTCATTTTTAATGGGTATTATGTTTTTCTTTCCTAGTTTCGGTTTGGTGCATTTGAGACTTCGGTTTTTCTCTATGACGAAGATCATAGAAGATCTTTTCTTTATTTCAGCATGTTTTGTGATTCTACACTTATTTTGGATTTTCGTTTTCTGTTATCCGTTGCCACTTTTGAGCTTGCATTTAATAGTTCTTTTGTTATGATTTTATTAATTCCATTTAAGCTAAGTATATCTAGATTTAATGCTTTTGCGGGTTTTAATTTGCTTGTTTATTATTCTGTATTAGATTTTAATTTATCTGTGTCTATATTCTAAGTTTTTCTAAATTTATTTCTATTTTTATTATGTTTTATCTATTGGTTTTTTTTATTTTAGTACGTAATATTACTTGCTTTGTATTACATCATATTTGATTTTCAGTACGTGTGAAATATTTATATATATACAATAGCACTAAAGGCCTTAGAGGCCCATGGCTTAAAGAATTTTGTTCTTTCTTCATTTTCGCTTTCCTTTATGTACTGAGATCTTCTCTGGCTCGATATGTGACTTTTCTCCATTCCTTCTTGTTATTCATTTTTCTTTTCTGGCCGTCTAGTCCAATTTCTTCCATATCTTTTTCTACCTCCTGATTCCATCTATTTTTTGGCCTTCCTTTTTCTCTTTTTTGAAGTTATAATGTAGTTTAGTACCCTTTTTGGAGTCCTCGTGTTTGGCATCCTTTCTAGGTGACCTCGCCATCTTAGTCTCTGTGCCTTTATGACTCCTATTATGTTAGGTTGATTATATAATTTCTTTAATTCATCATTTGATCTTCTTATCCATAAACCGTCCCTTATTATTCCTCCATATATCTTCCTCAAGATTTTCCTTTCCCATATCTCCAGTAGATTTTGTTCATTTTTTGTCATTGTCCACGTCTCACTGCAGTATGTTGCTATTGGTTGTATAGTTGTTTTGTATAACTGTATTTTTGCCTTTCTTGATAAAAACTTGCTTTTCAACATTCCACTAAGAGCATGTACACTTCTATTGGCTGCCATTATTCTAGCTTGTATTTCTTCTTTAATGTTAGGTTTACGTGATATTATTGTACCTAGGTATGTAAATCTTTCCACTATTTCGAATTCGTATGATAATCTTTCTTCTACTTCTACTTTAAACTTTTGTCCATCCCTAAACTGATCATCTGTCCACTGCATACATTTTGTTTTAGTTTCATTTATGTAAAGTCCCATTTTCTTTGCTGCTTTTACTATTCTCTGTACTATCTCCTGTAGCTCTTTTTTTCCTCTTGCCAGCAACACTATATCATCCGCAAATGCCAAAACTTGGTGTCTTTTATGATATAGGAGTCCTTCTCTATTAATTCTCGCTTCTCGCATTATTTTTTCTAGGCATAAATTGAAGAGTAATGATGACAAAGGATCGCCCTTCCTTAATCCTTCTTTTACTATAAATTTGTCCGATGCATGATTGTTAACTTTGACTCTGTTTTCTGTATTCTCTAAAGTAAGATGTATCATGTTACGCAACTTTCTGCTAACTCCCAGTTCCTCAAGGGTCTCTTTTAATTCCTTCCTTTTTATTCTGTCGTATGCTTGCTGGAAGTCGATGAATAGCGCTATCGTTGGTAAGTTGTGTTCATAGCTTTCTGCTTGTAACTCTCTTATTATGAATAC